TAATTGTTGATCAAACTAGTGGCATGTCAAGTAATCCATTATTCATGAATATGTTGTGTTCTGAAATGTTGCTGTGGTCTTCTTAATTACATTTTTAAAATTGTTTATACAGGCAAAAAAAAATGGTACATTATAAATGTTGGAAGTACCAGCAACAGCAAATCACAGACTTTACCAGAGGCTATTCTTGCTCTGTCTCAGCATCAGGAAACTAAAGCATATGTTGGATGTTAGCCTGGGTGTACACAATGTGTCCTATTTATTCAAGGTTTTCTTTGAAGCCACAACTTACAAGTTTGTTTCTTAGGGGTACATGTCAGACTTCATTTAGCATTTGTTGGTATTAGGATACTCCTGAATAGCAAAAAGGCAACATTTTGGGGGAAGAATGTGGCTGCTATCTGAGCAGTGATCTGTCAGTTCCACTTATGTAGCTAAAGGAAAACTGGAGAAGAGGCACTATGGAGAAGCTAGGCTGAGATCTCAAGATCATAGGCAGAATTATTTTAAAGCACTTTAAATGGAAGAATTAATCTCCATTTAAATTATACATAGTTCATTATGTTAAGAACTAGGAAAAACATTAAAGCAGAAGTCCAACTGGCCAGAATATTTCAATTTAAAGTGTTTAGAAATTCTAAGTGGCACAATTCTTTTTACGATGCATTATTTTGCTATCTCTAGGTGCTTGCAGACTTTTTTGTTAACATATTTTGCCTTGCAAGATGAGCCGTTAGGTGTGTAAGGAAAACTTGCGTTCTGGAATCAGTCATGAATTTAAGATTTTAGGGCTTTGTTGACCCTGCTCTTTGAATTTACTGCTATTTTCTGAAAGCAGGAATTAACACGTACTACTTCTGTGACTGTTTTGCCACATCAAGGTATTTGCTTGTTCAATGTCCTGTTCTACAAATTTGCAGTATACTTGCTGCGATGTAAGTAACTGTTCTTTATTTTTTGCAGTCTTGATATTTTTGTATATATTCTCTCCTGAAATATTTAATATGGAGGTTATTTAAAGGTAGAAAAAGAAGCTTTGGCAGAGGATTTAGCTTTCCTTGTTTACAGCAAACCCCATGAGAAATCCTTCCCAGGCACACATGCACACACACAGACACACATACACCCAAAAATCAATGCAAAAGAGTAGGGCATTCATTAAGCTGTCAAAAATGGAATAA